GGGGGGGGGCGTACAAACCTCAGCCCCTTTGGTCCTCCCTGCACTACTGCCCCGTGACGTCTCTGCACCTGCTCTCCCGCCCCAGCGAGAACGTCTCTGCTCTCACATCCTCCCTGGGGCCTGGCTCAGACCCCGCTCACACACTGCAGAGCTAGTAGGTTCTGTCTGCAGCACAGCAAACCTCGGCAGAGCTGGGAGGAGAACCAGGTCTCCTGGCTTCAACCACTAGACAATGCTTCATGTATGTAGCTCCAGCTGTTCTCCAGCACTGACATACGTTACCCCTATGCTAACCTGAACAGAGTCACTTCCACTGCTAACCGGCCTGTCCCAGACTAAACAGAGGGCTGACTGTTGTTCCGTGCACATGGCCCTAGTCACATGGCTCCCTGTTAGACCCTTTTGCTCCTTAGCCCACCATGTTTCAGTATCTCAGGATCACACCTAATGTGAGGAGCAGATTACCACCACCACCACCCCCGCCCCCAGGAGATCTCACAACTTCCCCTGCAACAGCTGTGCTGGCCACTGTCAGAGACATGATACTGGGCTAGAGGGACCTGGGATCTGCTTCCATCTGCCTATGTTCCTGTACTCCCCCCATCCCCTCGAGGGCTGGGTCCCCCCTGCAAGCTCTGGGAAGAGGGGACTGCTGGAGTCCACTCAGCACCCTGGGGAAGATCCCACAGCTGTGCCCCCTGGGCACTGAGCTCTTTTCACTCCCTCCAAGGCTCTTCACAGGGCTGCAAGGCGGAGCTGAGCACCACAGCGTGTACTGGGTAACACCCCTGCGAGGCTATCCTGTGTTACAGACAGGCTAAGTGACTGGCCCAGCTGGCAAGTGAAGCAGGGCCACTGGTGCCAGACTAGCCCCGGCCTCTCTCGATCAGCCCCTGACTGTTTGGAGGGCAAGGTGTGCTGTTATCCTGGACTCTCCAGGGTCTGAGCGACAACCAAATCACATAGGCCTGTGAGCGGAGAGCGCCTGGGTTAAGCTGGCTGGATTAGTACTTGCATGGGAGACCGCTAAGGGACTGCTGAAGCGAGGCTGGTGACGGGAGGCAGTCACTACAGACTAACTGCTCCTGTGCCGCACTCGGACTCGGAGTCTCGACCGCCCGGGATTGTTAACAACCCACGGAAAATGGATGGCCAAGCCCTGGCCAAGTCACTCTCCAAGTTCCACCAACAATCTCAGCTGGCTCCGGGCTCGTCGCCACCTCCTGTCTGAAACAATCAGGTCGTGTGGCTGCTAGGCCGTGGCTGGGTTTCAGGTCAGAGAAAGCTGAATAAGTCAGTCCTGTATAATGCACCACACAGTGTTATTAGATGGGGGCAGGCCCTGGTTCCACAGTAATGAAAATGAATAATAATGATGCCTGTAGCTTCTCTCTTCTTCCTCGCTCCCTTTTCGTGCTAAATAAATAGCCCTGCTCTTTTGAATCCTCTCTCTTTAGAAGCCCTCCCCCCCCATGCCGTTCGTTAGTCCGTTACCATTCCCGCTCTTCTCTCTTTCTGCTGCATCCTGTACTGGGCTGAGTGGTCACCACTCACTGCGGGATTCGAGGGACGGGCAGAGAACAGTAATAATGGCTTATCTGGAGAGCGTCCAGAGAAGAGCAACACAAATGATGAAAGGTCTAGAAAACATGAGCTATGAGGGAAGATTGAAAAAATTGGGTTTGTTTAGTCTGGAGAAGAGAAGACTGAGAGGGAACCTGAGAACAGTTTTCAAGTACATAAAAGGTTGTTACAAGGAGGCAAATTGTTCTCGTTAACCCCTGAGGATCGGACAAGAAGCAATGGGCTTAAATGGCAGCAAGGGAGGTTTAGGTTGGACATTAGGAAAAGCTTCCTAACTCTCAGGGTGGTTAAACACTGGAATAAACTGCCTAGTGAGGTTGTGGAGTCTCTGTCATTGGAGGTGTTTAAGAGCAGGTTAGACAAACATCTGTCAGGGATGGGCTAGATCAGGGGTTCTCAAACTGGGGGTCGGGACCCCTCAGGGGGTTGCGAGTTTATTACATGGGGGGTCACGAGCTGTCAGCCTCCACCCCAAATCCCGCTTTGCCTCCAGCATTTATAATGGAGTTAAATATATAAAAAAGTGTTTTTAATGTATAGGGGGGGGGGGTCGCACTCAGAGGCTTGCTGTGTGAAAGGGGTCACCAGGACAAAGTCTGAGAACCCCTGGTCTAGATAATACTTAATCCTGCCATGAGTGCAGGGGACTGGACTAGACGACCTCTCAAGGTCCCTTCTAGTCCTAGGATTCATACATGTTTCCCGTAATACATCCTAGCATTCTATTGCTGTTATCATATTTTCAGTAATACCCACAATGCACTTGGCCTCTTCCCAACATACAAGAAGGCAATGCTCCTGAACCGGAGAGCTTACAGACAGGCAAAGGGTAGGAGACAGGGAAAGACGAGGTCAAGCTAGTAACTGGACATGTTAGAAAATATAGCGTATTGCTGACACAATGAGTGTCTGGTCTATGTGAGAGCTCTGAGATACAATCGACTCAGGATTGAATAAGGACTGGGAATGGCTGAGCCATTACAAACATTGAATCTATCTCCCCTTGTAAGTATTCTGACACTTCTTATCAAACTGTCTGTACTGGGCTAGCTTGATTATCACTTCAAAATTTTTTTTCTCTTACTTAATTGGCCTCTCAGAGTTGGTAAGACAACTCCCACCTGTTCATGCTCTCTGTATGTGTGTGTATATATATCTCCTCAATATATGTTCCACTCTATCTGCATCCGAAGAAGTGGGCTGTAGCCCACGAAAGCTTATGCTCTAATAAATTTGTTAGTCTCTAAGGTGCCACAAGTACTCCTGTTCTTTTTGCGGATACAGACTAACACGGCTGCTACTCTGAAACTCCCCAGTTAGTATCACACGGTTACTTGTGGGTTCCTAGTCCCTCTTCTAAAGCTACTAAACACTGGGTTGGTATCTTCAGTGATCTCTCCCCAGGGACCTTTAGGGTCTGATCCGAAAGCCACTGGAGTCTGTGCAAACACTCCCAATGGACTGCGAGTGCTGGATTCAAAGCCCATTTGGGTATTTGCACTCCCACCCCTCGAGATGTTATACTGAGGCCAATCAATGTGCAAGCTGCTCACACTACTCTTCCCAGAATGCATGACTCTGCACTGGTCTAGCTGGATTTCATCTGCCATCCTGTTTCCTAGTTATCTCACTCTGTTAGATCCTCCTTAAGCTCCTTAATCTCCTCCCTAGTCTCAGCCACCCCTCAGAATCATTTCGTTGACAAGTTCAGCATCTTACAACCCACCCCTTGAGAACATCAGAGCGGCCAGACTGGGCCAGGCCAATGGTCCATCTAGCCCAGTTTCCTGTCTGCCGACAGCGGCCAGTGCCAGGTGCCCCAGAGGGAGTGAACAGAACAGGGAATCATCCAGTGATCCATCCCGTCACCCATCCCAGCTTCTGACAAACAGAGGCTAGAGACACTCAGAGCATGGGGCTGCATCCCTGCCCATCCTGGCTAATAGCCATTGCTGGAGCTATCCTCCAGGAACTTATCTAGTTCTTTTTTGAATCCACTTATACTTTTAGCCGTCACAACATCCCCTGACAAAGAGATCCACCGGTTGGCTGTGCACTGTGTGGAGAAGTACTTCCTTGTGTTTATTTTAAACATGCTGCCTATTAATGCCATTAGGTGCCCCCTAGTTCTTGTGTTATGAGGAGTAAATAACACTTCCTTATTTACTTTCTCCACACCCGTCATAATTTTATAGCCCTCGATCATATCCCCCCCTTAGTTGTCTCTTTTCCTAGCTGAACGCTCTTAGTCTTTTTAATCTCTCCTCACCCCTTCTTCCAGCTCTTTAATATATTTCAAACAACTGATCCCTGGGCACCCCAGTATTAACCACTGGCTACTTTTTACTTCCCATTTCTCCGCCAGCTTTGAATTCATAACAAGACTATCTCACACCCTGGTTACCAAGAGTCCTTACCAGGGTTTCTTGCAGGGCTTTAGCAAAGACTTTTGAAAGAGTGAGTACATGACACTTAGTGGGTCTCCTTCAGCCACCGCTTTAGCTCTTTCAGAAAATATCTAACTGCTTAGAGAGGCACCATTTCCCTTTACAAAAGCCAGTGGTATCATTTTACTACACACAGTTTTACTCTCCTTTATCATTCTTTCTACAGCGACTCTCTGAAAGGTGTTTGCTGATACTGCTGAGAGACAGCTTGGAATTCCTGGGATCAATGTTCTAAAAGGCACAGGTACAACACTGGTGTCTCTCCAGGTCTCTGTATAGTAACTGTTTTCACTGCATGTCAGAGCAAATCCCTTATGCAGGCTTGTCCCTCCCCTGGTCTGCAGAGTAACAAGGGAGAAAACAAGCCTTAAACCCCACTAGAGAGAGGAGAGAGACGGGGCTCCGCACTACTTACTCCAACTGAACGCTATTGCCATTTTCACAAGGGAGAGGCGTGGGTTCTTTTACCTGTTTGAAAGCCCAGTTTCTGAGGATGGCAGCCATTTTCAAGCAGTTGGCCAGCAATTTGGCCTGAATTTATAGCACACTCAGGGGTGTGGCTACTGACTAGCCCCCACCTGTGTGACACACTCCTTTGCCTACTGTGGAATTAGCGAAGTATGCTCAAAGGAATGCTGGGATGATGGCGGATCAGGAAGTGGTTACAATGGCAAAACAATGAACTTCTTCCTTGTTAGGGTTGGTCTGGGGGGGTTTAAAGCACTGGGGTTTGTGACGGCAGACCCCAGGCAGATACAGGAGTTATTTGGATCTGCTTGGTATAAGGAAAAGTATGTTGTGGTCTGAACAGTTTCTTGCCAGGGATGAGGTTATCAGTCCTCAAAGGCCAAATCTGGAGGCCTAATCCTGGGAAAGGAAAGGTGGTGACTCTCCCCTGCTTTACAGTAACCTGGACCTGTGCAGTGAGTGTGCAAGACAGGGGGTGGGATTTCACATCCCCTTTGCACAGGCGTGAATAACTCTCTGGGTTGTAGAGCGGGGAAGCAGCAAGTCCACAGAGCCCACGTTCCACTTGCATCACTAAGATGATCCCAAGCTCCCGGGGCATGCCTCTCTTCCGCTTGTGCGTGGTTTGTTTTATTCCTGGTGTGCAGGCTGGGGGCCTGATTCTGATCTCATTTGCACCCATAACTCAGCTGGCACCAGCGAGGTTCACTTCTAGCTCCATTAACGCGAAGATTTACAAGGAAGGGAAAAGTTTGCATTTTGTAAAGGAAATAAATAAAGGGGGGTGGTTTATCATCAATAACCTGACAGCCTCCCACCCCCAAGCGACCCAGGGCCACTCCGCTGTTTCGGGGCATCCTTTGTTCAGAACTCTCCGGTTTAACCCTTTCAGTCCTGGGGATTTACTTCAATATCTCATCTCCAGCTGACCCATCCCCTCTTCAGTCCTGCCTCTGGCTATGCCTCATCTCCCTGGGCTGCAAAGAGTGACCTCAGGGCAGAGATTTCTCCATTACCTGCAGTAACATTCTTCTCTTCCTCAGAGCACATCTATCAGGATCGCTTGGGCGTTTGGGTTCCCCTCTAGTTTTCAGTGCTGAGTGTAGGGTTATAGGTGTTATGGTGCAGATGAGTTGCAGGCTGCTACTTGCTTCCATTCTCAGGTCTACTGGGGACAGCGGCTCTCAGTAGCATTCCTCATCAATTTGTCTCTGTTTTGGCAGTACTGTGAACCGTGATGGTGCAAGGAACAACTGGGCATGTGGGCCGCTTTGGGATAAATAGTGTTTGGGGGGCTCATTAAGGCACCCAGTGTCCTTTAGGCAGTGTCCCTACAGATGATGTAGATTACTGCCTAGAAATCATTCACCTGCTTAGTTTATAAAAAAGAAGAGGGAGGGGTGTATAAATACCGTCCTGGGGGTATTCGAGGGCTCTTTCATCTAGCAGAGAAAGGCAGAACAAGAGACAGAGGCTGGAAGCTGGAGCCCAGCACAATTAAGAATCCACATTTTGAACAGTGGAATGAACTCCCGAGGGAAGTGGCAGATTCTCCACCTCTTGGTGGCTTCAGACCCAGACTGATGACTCTCTGGAAGACATGCACTAGCCCAACAAGTTAATGGGCTTAACACAAGGGGAAGGAGGCGGACTATAATGGCCTGTGTTATACAGGAGGTCAGATTAGATGATCTAATGGTTCCTGTTGTCCTTGACCTCTATGACCTTCTTTCCAGTCTCTTTCCCCACTTGTCCCTTTCCCTGAGGATGGAGCTCAGGGGGCTGTAGCCCACGAAAGCTTATGCTCTAATACATTTGTTAGTCTCTAAGGTGCCACAAGTACTCCTGTTCTTTTTGCGGATACAGACTAACACGGCTGCTACTCTGAAACAAAGAATCTATCCCCCTTTCAGGGCGGAGAAGCTATGGCCAGGGAGAGTCCCTGCTAACGCAGTTCTGCTACCAGCGTACAGGGGGACTGAGTATCTGCTGGGAACACGGGAGCTTCATGTGGATCTGTGAGGATCACCTATGTTTGGGGACAGGCCCCAGCCAGCTGGTCAGGAACTCAACAAGGGGATCTTCAGAGAGATTTACTCCGTGGGGGCAGGACTGCCCCAGCACTAGGATTACTAGTCTCAGCTCAGAAAGTGACAGCAGTACCTGTGATGCGCAGGTCCTTGCTGCCAGTCATTCCAGCTTTGAAGCCACTCATGCTGAGCTGTAACTAGATATTGTAATGACCCCTTCTCGCGCATACTCCACTAGGTTACTGGTCTGCACCACCTCAATCCCTGCCTCGCCCTATGTCCCAGCCACACACGCGGCTCCAGTTCCACTGCTGCGAACACAATTTCACGTGTACACTGGGTAGCCCTCGTCGAGTCCCTGGCCTGACACAGGGGCTCTTAGCACCCACTAGCTTTCCCGGGGACAGCCCCCTTCTTTCCAATGTGTCACTGAGGGTGGCAGAGCCATTCAGGGGCAGTAGTTGTCAGCTGTACAAATGCTGCTGTTGCTACGCAACAGTCCTGGTGTAGCAATTAATGCTCAGCAAAATGTGCTGTGCGCTGAAGCTATTTGCATAGCTGGATGCTGTAATCCACTTGTTCGCGTTGAGTTCACAACCATTCCTTCCCCAGCTCTCACAAAATCCAGGGGCTCTTACAAAGGCGGAGCAGACACAAAGGATCTAGCCCATATTTCTCAGGAAGAACTAGAGAGTGCCCGGGTATGGAGCATGGCAGTGGAGGAAACAACAGATTATCTGCAGTGCACTCGGTAGCTCCGAGGGGCTCTTCCTTTAACTCATTTTGCCCCTGCCATTACTGTTTGTGGAGTTACCCTGCTCCTGTGGGTTTGTACACAGGGTGCCCATCACTCTGGGCAGCCTCTCGTTGAATGAGCCCAGGATCCTGTGTGTGTCTTCTGGGGAGAGGGAGAAAGAGAGGGGGGGGAGGAGGGGGGAGTGTGACTGTTTCACACCAACCTACCTGGAACGCTGGTCTCCAAAAACCTGTCCATTGGCACTGCAATATTCCGGTTTCCCCACCCCAAGTGTCTCTCTATTGAACATGAAGCCTGGGTCTTTTTTTTTTTAAGCCCCTGCACATCAGTTTGATAGATTATAAGTTTACAGATATGTTTTGTACCTCAGAGGCACAAGAAGCAGCAGCAGAACAAAAGTTCAAGGCTAAGTGTTTCTGTTCCTTTCAGACCACTCTAAGCACCACGATTATATAGTTCCTGAAAAGAAACAAAACATAGCTATAAACTTATAAAATCCAGCTGAGTATTGTAATGGGCAGACCTTCCCCCTCCCTCTTCTGCCATCGTGCAGATGACAGTGATGGGCAGGAGCGCACAATGTACTACACCCTGCCAAAGCAAGGAGGGGAGTGCATCCAACCGATCAAACCAAGGGGGCAACAGAAATCTGCTTCAAATTGGAGCCCTGCTTTGTACCTGAGTTGTGCAGGCAGGTTTGCCTCTAGAACACAATTAAAGGAGCAGATGACATTTCTCAGGACTCTCTATACCTGACCTGACTATTTCTATAGGAATGTATCAATCCAAGACACATGAGTGTACTTTAAAGATATTCACAAGTATTGTCATTGTAATCTGTGTGGAGATTCTGGTTTGGTCTATGTTTAAATGTTTTGCCCCCATAGCTACAGCAGTTAGGAGTGTGAAAAAACAAAACAAAAAACCTGCTAACCACCAGAGCTATGCTGGCAAAAGCGCTATGTACATGCAGTTACACCACCAAAAGAAGCCCTTTTGCCGGTATGGCTTATTTCATTCGGGAAATGGCATCCGTTCTACCAACAAAAGAATTCTTTTGCACCCAGTATAAGCTGCATCTCCACCAGGCGGGTTTTTTGGTATAGCTTTTCTAGTGTATACAAGGCCTCAGGAATTAAGTTTGTTTTGGATGAACCAGTTTAGTTGTAACACATTTCAGTGCTCAGCATATGCTTTGAACTTAATGCTCCCCAGTAGAAACAGGGCAGTTTACAGCTCCATTGGTGCTGCGGTGAGTCTGTCTGACTGCAGAGGAAACAGAAGGGCAGTGCAGACCAAGGAGAAATTCAATGCAACAACGAGAAGTGAGCGAATGTTTTCTTCACTTAAATGGAAAGCTTAAGTGCTGCACAGCACAAGGAAAATAGCGACAGAAAAAGACCACAGGCCCACTGAATTTTCAAGGCCCCTGGATTTCTGCTGTCCCTGGTGACCTGCTTTGGGGATTTATAAAGTGTGCGTTTAAACTGAAAGCAGAAAGAAAAAAAGTTATAGGGATTTTTTGCAAAATGCACTTGTTCATCAATTTACTCAGGATGTACAATGAATCAACTGGCTCAGATAACCAGCAGGCCCCCAACCCTGGGTCAGACTTTTAACCCTTCAGAGTATTCATTTTGTAGAGGGATTACACATTTAAAGCAACCTTCTTCCCCACCTGTATCCAAACAAAGCCAGGAAAGGCCAATGTAGCTTATACACAATTAAAACCAAACACAATCCATAATACACTCTGTTTCTGCAGGGTTCCTGTCTCTGCTCGCTTCCACCCCACTCCTGTACAGGGGTTTATCACCAGTTGTGACACATCTAACATTAGCCTCGCTGGGGCTAATTAAAAACCTTGCCATCGAGCCCATGTCTTTAAAACCAGGGGAAATTTATCAAGCTGCAAACATTGCCCCACGTACGGGCTTTCAAGGGCTTTTCAGAATTGTCCTGACTAATTTCTCTAATTACCAAGGACATTTGGGATTTTTCTTTTAAGAGGTGGAAAAAGAAATCAGCATGAGTGCTCCTGTGTGTGATGGTTCGAACAGCATCAGCGCTGAGCATGGCATTATGGAAGATGGTGGTACCTAGCTACTACAGGGAGGTGAATATTATAAAGCCAGAAGACAGCTGGCAAACCACACCAGCCGGTGCAGAGCTCTTCAAAGGCTTTTCACAGCATTGCACATTTTTTAAATGTAAAAGCACCTGGACACAACACTAGAGAAGGACATGCAGGGAACAATCCCATTGCTAAGCAAGAGGATGCACTGTCCAATGGAATGATTCCATGAACACAGAAGAGGCAAGTGGCATCCGAATCTCCCCATAGGAGAGTACTGTGTAGGCACCTCTACTCCCCGTCTCCGAACACATCATTGCTGCTACCTGGACTGGGCTCTGGTAAATCAGGAACTGCGGCTCTAAGGCCCAGATCCTATAATCAGATCCCTATGCCCAGACGCTCAGTTGCAGGATGGGGACCTTATGGCTTGTGTTCATTAGGGATTTTTGCAGCACTGTAGCTACCCCAGCACAAACCCTCACCAGAGATGCCCGGCGCTAGGGTCACACAGGGCTTACGCCAGGGTACGTCTCACGGACAAGAGCCTCATTTTATGCTGGTGCGTGTAAACATCTCTAGTGCAGACGACCCCAGAGTCATTCCTGAACCCAGCCCTGCAGCCCTAGCACTGCCACTGTCCAACACAGGGAAACGTCAAGGGTTTTAGTCTCATGAATCTTGCAGAAACAGGCAAAAGTGAGGCACGGTTTTTTGCCCTGAAGATGTAAAAGATCAGATGCAGCAATTCGCTATAGCACCTTAGACTGCTAAATATACAAGCAGCACAATCGCAATTATCCAAATGTCAGGAGGGACATGCTGAATAAGATCAGAGAATAGTGGGAAACCTCAGTGTAATTAACTGACGTTTGGGAATGTGACCCCATTTCAGAAAACAGGGAGTTTAGATAACTGAGCTTTGGACAGACAAGGCTGTACTGTAACAGAAACACTTTTGTAACCGCAACTTTAGCATTCTCTACCAACAAATGCTGAAATGTACTGCCTAAGAATGTATTTTGAAATATGAATGACCAGTTTCAGAAATATGTCAGTAGCTCCAGCTAACTGTTGTCCTTCAATTGGCAATTGACTTTTTGCTGATACTCCATCAGGACTGCTGGTTGGGAAGTAGGTTAAGACAAGGAAAATGCATTTCATCATTGGAATGCCTGGGGAATAAGATTGACTCAAAGTTGATGGCTAAAGTAAGTTCTATTTTAAATGTGGGTTAATTTAGCTGTTGTTCAACTGCTATTAAATGATACAGGTTAATTTTGCAGTAGTTAGACAACTGTTAATTTTTTTGTTTTAATAGGAAATCTTTGAATTTCTCATGCGTTCCCAATGAAGAAGGACATTTCCTGTGTCCTAACATACCTCGTTCCCTATTAAGTTCAAGCTTCTTATCCTCACCTTCAAAGCTCTGCATCTTTGTTCTTGTTTCTTATTACTCCCTATATCTCTTCTTTAGCTTCCTATGCTCATCCTTACGTCTTGCAGATTTTGCTCCCCTGTCCCTGAAGTTTCCTTCTCAGCTCACTGGCCCAAGAGTGCCTGCACTCTCCAGTCATATCTCTGGACAAAATTCAATGCTAGCGCAAGGCTCACAAACCCCAATCCCTGTCCAGAAAATGCCAGCCGCCATCCCCCTAAGTAAGCACTTCACCCCAAGTCTCCCAGGGTGTTTCAGTGTTCAATTTTTGCCTGGGTAGACTGTGTGACAAAGTGGGGGATGTCTCACTGAAAGGGGCACCCCCCCCACGGACCGCACGGGGCCAAGAGTGGGCACGATCTGTGAGTACGTGACAGATTGTAAGCTATTTAAAGCATGAACCGTGTCTTTCACAGTACTGACCATGCTGTCATCACTTAAACAACTACTTTTCTTTGTGATCGTTTATTATATTTAAAGCACGCAAACTCCACCCAGTGCCTATGATGCTGACCAATATCATCTCATTGCTTTCTTGTGCTCCATGGCTAGGACTCCTCAGTGCCATGGTAATACAAATAAATAATATTCGATTTTAGCAACTTACTCTTTGTAATTAGATGTTGTGGTTAGAGTATATTTTATATTTCTGTGCAGTTTTCATTTAAGCAAGAAAACGGTTCCGTTTAAAATTTACAGAAAAACATCAGTTGCCAGTTTGCCATAAAAAATAAGTCAGAATTCATCCCCACTAACTTGTATCTTGAGGGGAATCGAACTCTCCGAGAAGTGAATATGACCAGCCACTCGACACCCCAGGGTAAAGACGAATGAAGAAGCCAAAAGAACACGAAGGCTGCATTTCCTAGACACATTTTCAGAGATTCTCTCACCATGCAGTTCCACTGGTGCTACCAACTAGGAAAACATTCCCCATCCTTCTCACTGTAGACAAAGCTACGACAGCCAATTAGCACAGGCTGATCATCAAATGCTCATGGGTCTCTTCGGCCAAACGTGTTTGTAACTCCTTAGTGGGAATTCCGAACCCTGAAGGCCCCGTCTCTGCTAGAGCAATTAGGACCCATATGCCACTAATTGCTGACAGCATTGTGCCAGCTCTAGTCTTTACAGGACACCCACATTTTGACGACTGTGGTCTAACTTCAGATCAGGTGACTCCAGACTCTGACCATCTTTAGGAAACACAGCACAGCCTTGCTCTTGAAGAAAGCCCTGCCATCATTAGTGACTCTCACAATTCAAACACCCCTTTTATTCCCCAACTCCTACAACTCGCCTCCCTCTGCCGCCAGAAACAGCTACGTTTTGATGCTGTCACTCACACCTTCACAGACCATGCCATTGTTCACAGTCCGAGCTGTCACTATGGGCTAGTCTACAGGCAGTGTTACCGCAATTTCTAACAGAAGTTGTGATTTTTAAGCCGATTATGTTAAACTGTTGTAAGAGGATGTGTGGACACATTTGTTTGGATTAAACCAGGTGTGATACTATGCCCCATATTCTTCACAGAAATATTGTTATAATACGATTATAGCATATCTATGATATATTTTGTGCAAGCTAAGGCATATGAGATATCATTGGAAAGGTTAT